ATGGACAGACGAAGGTTTGCCACACCCATCCCGAAAATTCCATAATTGTGTGCACACACTAATACTATACAGAGTCTTCTCTCTCGACCCGGAGCGCTACCCCCTCGCAAAGATGCGCCAGCTCGTTGACAAGCTCCATGAAGACGACCAGCACTACATCGTCATGGTAGACCCTGCGGTGGCCTATGTCGAGTCCCCCTCTTTGCAACGCGGCATCGACGACAACATTTGGCTTCTTCGCAGCAACGGCTCCGTCTGGGTCGGTGTCGTCTGGCCCGGTGTGACCGTCTTCCCCGACTGGTTCGCCGAGAACATTACAAAGTACTGGAACAACGAGTTCGCCGGGTTCTTCTCGGCCGACGACGGTGTCGACATTGACGCCTTGTGGATTGACATGAATGAGCCCTCCAACTTTCCCTGCAACTTCCCCTGCGACGATCCCTACGGCTCCGCTGTTGGTTTCCCCCCCGAGCCGCCCCCGGTCCGGGAGAACCCCCGCCTCCTCCCTGGCTGGCCTTGCGACTTCCAACCTCCTGGAACCGACTGTGGCAACAACCAAACCAAGAGGTCTGACGTCTTCGTTCGCAAGGACATCTCTCCCAGGACGATCCCCGCCGGTCAGAAATTTGATAGTCTGATCATTGCCGACAGGCAAGTATCCGGCGACCAAAAGGGCCTTCCAGACCGCGATCTCCTTTTCCCCAAGTACGCCATCCACAACAAGGCCGCATGGGACACGGCCTCGAACGCTGCCGGCGGTGGTATCTCCAACAAGACGGTCAACACGGACGTCATCCACCAGAATGGGCTCGCCATGTACGACACCCATAACCTCTACGGGTCGATGATGTCGACGGCCTCCAGGATCGCGATGCTGGCCCGCCGCCCCAGCCTCCGACCTCTCATCATCACGCGCTCGACCTTCGCTGGCGCCGGGACGTCCGTCGGCCACTGGCTCGGTGACAACCTTTCCAACTGGCAGCAGTACCGTGTCTCCATCTCCCAGTTGTTGCAGTTCGCCTCCCTGTACCAGGTGCCCATGGTCGGCTCCGATGCCTGCGGCTTCGGCGACAACACTACCGAGCAGCTATGCGCGCGCTGGGCCGCCCTCGCCGCCTTCTCGTCGTTCTACCGCAACCACAACTCCCTTGATAGTATATCGCAGGAATTCTATCTCTGGGACACCGTTGCGGACAGCGCCCGCAAGGCAATTGCTATCCGCTACCGCCTCCTCGACTACATCTATACGGCGTTACATCGGCAGACTGTCGATGGCACCCCGCTCATCAATCCAGTCTTCTACCTGTACCCTGAGGACGAGAAGACTTTTGGTCTCGACCTGCAGTACTTTTACGGTGACGCCATTCTCGTCGCCCCCGTCACTGAGGAGAACTCGACCTCGGTCAATGTCTACCTTCCTGACGACGTCTTCTACGACTGGTATACCCACGAGACGATTCAGGGCGCCGGCGCAACCATCACCCTGACAGAACAGGACTACACCACAATTCCGCTCTTCATCCGTGGCGGCTCCGTGCTGCCTCTGCGCGCCAACAGCGCCATGACGACGAAGAAGCTCCGCGAGGAGAACTTTGAGCTTTTGATCGCCGTGGGACGGGATGGCACTGCCAAGGGCACGCTGTACCTGGACGACGGCGTCAGCCTGGAACAGGCCGGCGTCACGCTCGTCACATTTGACTACAAGGACGGTAAGGTTTCCGTGGATGGCGAGTTCGGCTACAAGACACCGCTCAAGGTTTCCAAAGTCACGCTTCTGAGCGGAGGGCAGAGTGGAAAGAGGCAGGAGGCTGTCAAGACGGTCGAAGTCGATGAGCCCCTGACTGGACCCTTCGTCATCGAGATCAATTAAGTTTATACGCCTCGCCCGGGCTTTCCTTTCCCCCTTATGTTTATTTTTAATGTATATATATACAATGAACAACACAAAAAAGCCTCTTTCGTCATTGTGCCCCCCCTTCCCTGCTCGTGCACTGCACGATCTTCGTGAATGATGCCCCCGCTTCCCCATCCCTAATTGACAGGAACAAAAATCCTGTCAATATCAGCAACCCACGAGGAATCGGTGCTCACGAAGGAGATTGTGTTCCCCGACCCGGCTTCCAGGTTACAGAAGACGGAGCTGCTCCCGGGCGTGTTCCCGTCTGCGGTGGGCAGGAACCCGACCGTCTGCGAGACGCCGTTGCACGTCACCGTCCCCCACCGCTGGCTCGTGTCCCCGTTCAGGTGCTTCACCCTCACCGTCGTCCGCCCGGAGGCCTGGACGCTAACGTTCGAGAACTGCGCCCTGCCGCCTGCCGACCCGCCGATGTACCCGGCCGCCGCCGACCCGCTGCAGCCCGTACACGATATCACCCTCGCGCCGCCCGAGAGCGCGGCCGCCTCGCCCTCGTAAGACGTCTCGGTCGGAGCCACGGCCCAGGTGCCCGTGCCGACGTTGGGGACCCAGTTGACGCGGTCCGTGAGGGTGATGGTGGTGCCGGATATCGTGAGGGGCAGCCAGATGTAGGTGCTCCGCATGAGATTCGTGCTGACCCAACGGTCGCCCATGTAGATTGCCGTGTCGCCCAGGGGGAGGATGTAGGTCGTCTGGGAGGTGAAGGTATTGGAGCCGACGGGGGCGAAGGTTTGCCAGGCGGACCAGGGACCGGAGAGGGAGGTCGCGTAAGAGTAGACCTGGCGGGCGTCAGAGAAGTAAAGGGTGCAAAGGAAGGGGAGAGAGAACGTACGTTGTCGTTCGGGTTCCAGCCGGTCAGCCTGCTTCCGAACATGAAGTAGTACCCGTTCTTCTTCAGGATGGCGGGCGCCTCGATGCTCTCATCCCAGAGGTAGACGCTTTGCGTGACGTTGAGGTAGTCTGGTGATAGCGCATCGATACGCAAGCCATTGGCCCGCTGTTCGTCAACCCTCCCCGTCAGCAACGTATCGCCGCCGTGTTTCTTTGAGCGACGATGCAAAGAGAAAGCGGAAGGAAGGAGGAGAAGGGTAGGGAGGGGAGGAGAAGAAGAAGAAGAAGACGAAAACTCACATCCTCGGTCAGAAGATACACAGAGCCATCGTCGTCCTGGAACAGCCCCATGTCCCGGCTCTGGAACCCCAACGGCCTCCAGCTGCCCAGATACGTGTAGTTGCCGCACACAGTGTCGGACGTCGCCACGCCGACCTTGGCCTCGGCGTAGTTGCTGTCGTCAATGTGCATGTACATGACGTACTTGCCGGTGCCGCTGTTGTAGACAACCTTGGGCCGCTCGACAACCCTGTTCGGGCCGAGGTCGCCCGCCGCCGAAGTCCGCGAGAGCAGGGCGCCGACGTATCTCCATTCGACGAGGTCGGTCGAGGCGTAGCAGTTGACGTTCTGGAAGGCGCTGCCCTGGGTCTTGTCCTCGCCGATGAGGTAGTACGTCGAGCCGACCTTGGTGACGCCGGCGCCGTGGGCTTGGATGTGCCGGCCCGTGTTGGTCTGCGGGCCATGTCAGATTTCTTGCTTTCGCAAAGCGTTGTTCTGAGCCGCGAGGCAACGGCTAGAGTGGATGGGGGAGAGAGGGGGGAAGAAGGAACGCGAAGGAGGGAGAAGTAGCCGCTTACCGCCGTCCATGTTCCGCCGGGTATGATTTGGAGGGTGGCCTGCGCGAGGCGCGCTCCCGCCAGGAGGGAAGCCAGGCCGTTGAATAGGCGCATGCTGGCTGGCGGATTGTCGTGTAAGTCAACGTTGTATCGCAACCACAAAGGGAGATTTGATTAGGCAATCGCACCGAGGCAGCGAACTGAGACACGCCCTGCCCGGTCAAGTGTTCTTGTAAACACAACATTGTGAAGGCATAGGCCGTTATATAATGTTCTCCCAGAAAGCACGGCCATCAAAACGACCGCCAGCTCCTATGTTCCATCACCAATTATCCATATTGCGACGGCCCCTCTTCCTTTCGGCCCCGGGATCCCCAGGTCCCTATTTCTCCGTAAAGCTCATCTCGTGATCCGCACGTTGAGCTTTCCTCCAGCCTACTACGGCTTAGTGCACGGGGAACGACCGGTCTAGTCGTCCAGGGAGGAGGGAGGGGTCAAGTAATTAGTCCCTTCAATCGACTGTTAGCGTTTCGTCACCGTCCAAACATCCTCAATGGCTCGTCGACCCCGCCCGGAGAGGAGGTGGGATGCTGTATGGATGTATTCGCGTCATGCGCTCACGTGGCCAACCATCAACGACCCTTTTAGGTCTCAAGCCGAGGTTGCAACCGACCACAACCACCATAAAGCCATGCTGAAATGAAACTGAGACGGCCACTTAGGAAGTTGGAAGCACAACGGCGGCTGACCAATTTCATCTTCCCTGCAACCTATACAACGTCCCTAAGGGGCTAGGGGGAGGGCCGATATCAAGTTTAACCACCCTGGTTTTGTGGGGCGCACCTGGCGATCTGCAGGGGGCGGCAGCTGAATAAATCGATTCCGGGGGTTGACTGCCGAACCCGGTCCGGCATCGTCAAAAGCTTGGTATCCACGCAGGCGAAATCTGCGTCATGCGAGGACTTGAAGGTGGTCTCTGATTTGGTCTTGACTACTGTGTGCTTTTTGGGCTTTCCAGTTCATCTTCCCTTTTTTCTTCTTTCTTTTTCCTTTCCACTCCCTATTGCGTAGTCTTGGGCCTCGCGCTCAACGACTTGAACCAGACAGGTAGGTAGCTAGCTGCTCGGGGTTTTCGAGCTCGCCAGCAAGAAGCGAATTTTGCCAAAGAGAGTGATAGTCGTTCATGTACATCATGTCAATCGTACCCAAATGGTTCCTCCCGATCAATGGTGCCGTCGTAGTATATAGGTTGACAGGAAATCCGCAGCGCCGCGCCAACCTCCGCAAAGAGTGAGCCGCCCTGGGATCTCGTTTTTGATTTCGCCCTTTCCCCTTCGCCCTTGGCTCCTCTCTTGCCCTTGCCCTTTGTCGTCCTCTCTTCTCTCGACAAAGAAAGTAACGAAAATGATGCCGACAGACTAACCGTCTACTTCCATCTTGTCGTTGGTGTTGCTTGCTTCGATTTCTGTCTCAACCTCTGCCTCGATTTCCGCCTCGATTTCCTGCTTTGGCTCTGGGTAAAGCACGGATATTGATTCTTTTGCTTCTCCGCCGACCGAACCGCCGCCGGTAAGGCCAGTGCCAGGGCCATTGCCGGCACAGAGACGATATTCGCCATCTTCCTTTCGCTCGATGATACCTTCGTCAAGAGCCCACTTGGCCAACAGTCGATCGACCCCAAGTCGCTGGCCCTCACCTTTCTCCATATGCCTTCCAACGTGCTCCGTCCACTCGTCCCAGGAGCCGGGACCCTCAAACACGCTCTGGCAATCCGGCTTTGGGCAAGCCGATTTTTGAGGCGGTGACCGGCGCGTGACAAGACATGTTGTCTGCATCTCCTTGACGTGGCCCTCCCATTCCACTTGCAATTTGCTGTCACCCTTAGCAATGGCCTTCTTGATGGCGAATGGTGCGTGCATGCGCCGCAGGTGCTGGGTGAAGAGATCTTTCCGGTTGAACTCGTTCCCCTTGCCTTCTACAGTACTCTGCGGGCAAGACGAGCATCGGTAATACTGTAGGCAGAGGTGTTGAGAGGCAATGTGCCGCTTCCACTCGTTCTTTGAACCAAATGTGCTGGTGCACCCCGCGAACGAAAAGGCGCAAGGGAATGGCCTGGTGTGTGCAGCTGCGATATGTTTGCGCAACGATGAAGAGTCCTTGAAGGGAGCATGACTACATAACGTACATCTAGTCTCTTGCTTGGGAGTCGCCTTTTGTAGGGACCGTCGCTGTTTGGTTTTGACGTTGGGGGTACTCAGGTCGGCGGAATGCATGGTGTCGTCTGCACCTGATTCATTCGCTTCATGAGACGAACCTGTGTCTTCGTTATTGACGGGCATTGCACCATCTGGGAGGATTGTGCGTTGTCGTTCTACGGCTGGTGGGGCCTCGTCGCTCAGATGGCGCACATGGCTTAGTGCCTTTAGCTGTTCCGCCGCTTCCTGCATCTCGGCCGAATCTTCAACATCATCTTTGCCATCCACCGCTGCAGCGGCGGCGGCGAATGATACGCCGGAAGGATTGGTATCTACACGGCTGGCCGCCTCAAGGTACGAGGCGTCTTTGCTGTCTATTGAGCGTCGATGCAAAGCCGGCGTGCTTGCTGCTAGCTCCCGCGCCTCCAACAAGATTCGCCCGTCCTCAACCTCCTTTGCCGTGACTTTGGGGATACCCGTGGAGCCCTTGAGCTTCTGATACAATTGAATCATGTTATGCGACGTGATGTATCCCAGGAAACAACAGACCTTATCATGCTGTACAACATTCCAGATCGAGTGAGGCATCGATATGAGGAGCATGGTTGGAGGGCCGAGAAACATGCCCTCGACTTCAATCTTAGCAGCCAAGGGCGGTGTGTTGTGGAGCCAGCTATTAAAGAACGACATGTCTGGACTGGCATCCCCAACGAATGTTGTGCAAACGAGGACTCTCGCTTCATCAAACCGAAGGTCAGTAACAGATTCGGGATCGATAAGCTGATCCTCTCGCGATGTCCTCGCTTGGGCGTCCCCATCAGCGCCGTTGCGTGGTGACTGCTGTGGAAGTGACCAAGCAGATAATGGGCCCAAGCTCAGAATCTTTCCCTTACCGGGCGTGAGAGTGAAGCATATGGGAAGCTGGGCTGATGGTGGCGGAGTTTTGCTGGCACCATTTGTGAGCTTGACCGCTTGGGCGCTTTCTTGTTGCCTCAACTGAACAACCTCCTCGTGCAGTCTTGGCACGCTGAAAGGCCTACCCGCTGTGCTAAGTTTGTGTAGCGCTTCGATCAAGTGGTAGGTGAAGGATTTGCCCGTGGCATCACGGGGGTTCTGCTCAGGGCCGCACGCCGCGATGACTTGTTTGACGCCGTGGCTCCCAGAGACAGGAACATCTCGAACCGAGCAGGAGTCGAGAAGCAAGAGAATATCGGACTGAGCATCTTCGAATAAGCAGCGCACGCCATCCCACTTGAGCTTTGCGGCGTCATCTCGGGTATTGCTATGGAAGAGCGGTCAGAACGGTGCGGGGGTTCTTTTCGAGGCAGATCCTCAACTCACCAAGCCCAGTAAAGTTGGTTGTCGGATCCAACGAAACCGTAGCCGGCGTAGTAGATGATCAGCAAGTGGTTAGCTCTGGCTTTCTCGAGGAAGGAAGCCATCTGCACACCAAGCTTGATGCTGGGATTGGGCACTGTCGGAATGGCCCATCGGTCGGTCCGGAAATTGTAGGTTGATCGGAGTATATTCTCCATGGCTGTGAGATCAGCTTCGACAGAGGTATCCTCTTCCCAACGCAGAAGGAGAACAGAGACGTTGTCGTACGGGGTGCGCTCCGTCTGGCGTTGTATCAACATGGCGGCATCTTGCAGATGCCTCGCGAAGGACTCGAAGTCATGCCGTTCGGCCGGAGGGGTCTCTTGGACCGGGTGTTGCTGAGGCTGGAGACCCCAACTGTCAGTTCAGACATCGGCACAGCTGCATTGATCCGTCATGCTCACCAATTCATGTGGGAATGGGGCCGATTGTGTGGTGCTGGTTGAGGGTTGGCGCGGGAGAAGCTTTCGCCGTTTCGCTGGTTGAGACTCTTCCATCTGCGGTTTGGGTCAATGAGAAGACAACGTGTGATATCGCAGGTTGAGATCGGGTTGCGTTGCGGTCATGGAAGCACCAATTTACAGGGGGAGAAGACAATCGTACGAGGAATTGGGGACGAGGGCGATGAGATGAAGGATGGTGAGGAACCGAGGAGCAGCACAGCACAGGAGGAATGGCGGGAGCACAGTGAGGCTGCGAGGCTGTGGTTGCCCTTTGGGGGGATTTGGACTCTACTCACCTGGGTTAAGCTTTCATTGGACGATGGGGGCCCTGGTGATAGTGGTTTTGTGGGTCCAAGCCTGAGAAATGGGGAAGGCGGGAGAGCATTCGCCTCTCAAGGTGGGAAAGGGTTGGTCCTTGCTTTCTCCCCATCTCTATCCGTACCTGTCTGTAGGTACATTAGGTATTAGTCAAGGTTATCTTACTCAAGGTATCTTACTCTGAAGTGTATCTTTTTGCCCATGCCCTTCACCAGTCTTTCTTTCTCTCTCTTCTTTTTGAAGGCTCTGCCAGGCCCATACAACAAGTGTCAACTTCCACTGCCAATCTCGGAGCAGTTACTCTCTCTCTCTTCTCTTCCCTTTCCCGCTCATCCTTTGGGCGGGCACCCCTCGCCCTTCTCATGCAGCTCGAGACCTTGCCCCTCCTCCGCCTTTGCCTCGACCGCCGAGTCCCAGACCTTGCCGTCTGGCATGGGGCGTCTGGAGCCTGACGACTGGCCGGCCGTCATGCAGCCAGCTGCCTTTTTCTCTAGCTCCCACTGGTGCCACATGTACGACCTTTGTCCAAGTCTTGCTGCAAGGCAGCATCTCTTAGCTCCATTGGGCATACTTCGGACATCATAAGTCCATGCCAGTGTTCCGTCAGTCCTACAGTGATGCACCAGGGAATGCGTACTCGCCCGCCCCTCGCCCTAGATGGCAGAAGTATCGATACGGGTAAGCTCTCCGACTCGAGTTTGACGTGTTTGTAACACTGGACGGCGCCTGTCATCTGTGAATCATCACTCATTAACCACAGGCCATCCATCGGGAGATGAGCGCCTTTTGCTCCAAGGCAGTGTACAATGAGGGTAGTGCAGCCTAGTGCTGTGCAGTCTCAACCCATCCGCCTCATCCGGGACACACGAGACGTGGCGGCGCAGCCGGGAAGCGCAAGGGGCTTGCAGTCTGACGCTGGACCGGTAACGGCACTGCGAGGTGAGATAATCATCTCTTGTTAACCGATTGGAGGAGGCATAACACTGGTGAGAAGACGACCTCCTGCTTGGCTGACTTCCTGCCCACGTCGGGCAAGGCACGGCTGCAGATGTGTGGTCTCACACACCATCCAACTCCACGACCGACATCTTTCACACTCCATCTTTTCTGCCGCTTCTGGCCAATCAAGGCTACACGATCCGGTCTCATCAGCTTCCAGTGCAGTGCACTACGTCCGCCTTCCTGTCGGATTTTGCTGCATCAATCGCAGCCTCTAAAGCGGCGTGTTGCGCTAGCTACGTTATTGTCTACGCCCCCTATTGGCGATATGCTACCAATCGTTGTCATCTCAGGGGAGGGAGGGGAGGCTGGCTCGTTGCGGCGTGAGTCCAAGAAGCTAGACATCCGACAAGTCATTGACAGCTTCAGCAATGTTTGAGAATTGGTGCCCGCGCTGGGAAACCACTACCCTTAAAAAAAAAAAAAAAGCCGGCCTCGTCTCACTCTACCGTATCCTCTCAGTAGATTCGTACACCGCACTGACCACGGGCTGCTGGATAGGGGCTAGCAGGCTGGCAGAAACAGGGATCTAGAAGTGGCAAATGCAAGGGTTAGTCAACGTCAGCAGCAAGTTTGGTGGCAAGGGTTAGGGTTAGATGGCTAGGTGGGTGGCTAGGCTGGCTGACCGCCTTTCGAGATTGGCCTAGTGGGTGCCCTGTGCGGTGTACGAATCTGCTGAGAGGATACGGTATACCTGTAGTGTATGTACGTTTGCCTCGGATGAAGGGTTCTTCCCAGTAGCAGACACAGCTCTAGGAGCTTGGGCGCCCTGAGTGCTGTTGGTGCGCACAGCCGATTCCAGCCATCCTGCGTTGTCAGAAGCACAATGCTCTTTAGCTGCGGAACAAAGTAGGGGTCCCTTAGTAATAGGTGCGTGGTCGCCCAAATAAGTCAGATTGACGATGTTGTGATGTGCCCCCCGCTCCCCCCCGCTCCCCCCCCCCTCTCTCTCTCTATCTATAAAAAAAAAAAAAAAATAAGAGAGAGAGAGAGAGAGAGAGCGAGAGAGGAAAAAGGAAAGGAAAAAAAAAAAGGCGAGCGAGCTATCTTGAAAAATATTCAGAATTTCAGAATTCCGACTGCCTCGAGAGGGCAACACCACCTTCCGGCGCTCTGATTGACCAAGAGTACTCCGTATCGCTTGCAAAAAGGCCACTATTGCTCGGTGGCTCGACGATGTGCGAACCGGCGATCACTGTGCATTGTAAATCCAGGGCTGCATGCAGGTCGCCTCCGTTCCGTCCATTCAACCTTTGGTCGGGGCAAAAATAGATCCGGGATCAGGAGTTCTGGGAACTCCCGATAGTGGCATGCCGCCAGTCGGGAGGGTGGGTCGCCGGGCAGGGAGGCAGCCGGCACCCGTTGATCATTCGCCTCCGAGCTTTCCAACTGTTTCCCACCCTACGCTGGGTCTTGGGCACCGATCCGGTGGCCAACGTGCCGGAATGTAGAGCACTCGACATGATGGATTCCCGTGCGCCACCTTGAGCTTGTATCCCAGCAAACGACGGCACGGCGATGTCCTGGGTCGCAGTCCTCAATACATGTATGTATGTCAGGTCGCAACAGCCCCTCATTGATTCCAAGGCAGCTCTGTTCGTCCCACGCGTCTCATAGCGCTAAGCCACTTGTTCGGTCAATTCCTAAATTCCAGAATGCAGAGAAACATCTTGTCAAAGCTGCTAATCCAAGACAGCGTTGAACTGTCTGGGATATTCCTTGATGAAGGATACGGGCCGAATGAGTGAGTGCCTAGTGTTGTGGCGCGAAGGCCCAAAGAAAAGAGGGGGAGGAATGGCTTCGCGAAGTCCGACGTGCGGGGGCGTCCCAGCCAGGCTCGACAATTCGCGAGACACAAATGGGGCCACTGGCCGACTCAGTCTTTTTGGCCCAGTGATTGGGATAGTACCTGTATAACATGCCAACTTGACGGTGTTACACGTCTTTTGCCAAGAAGGGTTATGAAGGACGACGCGAAGCTTCACCCGAGAGCACAGGGGACCGCGTCGCTGTCACGCGAGCGCTTGTTAGTGGCGACAGTACGATCGATCGATAGTAGTAAAGCTTCGAGAACCGAGCGAAGAGGGATGGGGAGTGAGCGCCATTGAGCCGCCCAAGCCTTGCACAGCCACGCGGAACAAGAGTTTTTGAGCCTTCTGGATCAGTCCGAAGAAGCCATCGCAGCCAATCAAGGACCCGGTTCAGCGGCTTTTCTCACGTCCAAGGCGGGGGACAAGCAAGTCGAGCTGAAGGATGAAGGCACTGCTGACATGCGGATGTGATCACCAGAAAGGGCACCCTGGCTAATATCCTACCCGCAGGTGGAAGGCTGCTGCATCTTGGGAGGCCGCAGAAAGTACATGTAGTCAGCCCCAACGGGCAACACAAAGCTCACTGACGCATTGAATGAAAATATAGGCTATGGGATGGAACTCCAGACATAAGGCGCGGGGTTTTGTGATTTCCCGGTGCGGCAAAACACAATGCAGGCGCTCTGGCTTTGGGCTTGCCAAGGTCAGAAACCAGACACAGGCCATGGCCGTGCTGCGGGGGCTATGTCACAAGAATCTGGCGGGGTATCCCGTAAGCGTTCCCCTCTGTGGATGAACAGAGATTAGCAAATGGTGCGAGCGGATGCCTCCGCGTCGGAACACGAGAATGCAAGTCTTTTGAATTCAACCAAGCCGCAAAAGTGGATTCGGGCTCGTACGAAGTTGCCCCTGCCACCTTGTATATCAGACTGCCAGTGTCGGCGACGGGGACAAAGAGTGTGCACCGACAGAAACGGAGGAACTGGCAGTGACGCCACAGTAGCCAATCAAGCAATGGCGGCCGAATAGCCTGGGGTTGTTAAGCGACTTGCGAATGAGCACGAATGGCAGGCGGCCTTTTCTACCAGACCCAATGTCTTGGCTCCCTCTTTGGTGTCTTTGGAGCGAGTGCCAGGCGGGAAAGGTATCTGAACCGGGGCAAGATCTTCTCTCGGGCGGCGAAGACGTCGAGGGGCAGAAGTCCGGCGGAGGGTGTGTTGTATCTAGGCGGGTGATGGCGAAAAGAGGGTTGGCGCCCTGTTGCTGACGGCGTCGCTGGGAGTTTCTTAATCAAGGGGCCGGGAGGAGGGGGGGGGGGGGGGGGGGGGGGAGGAGGAGAAGGCAAGGGAAGATGCTGGATAAACTTGAGGGTGTACCGCGTGCCTGGGCGAGCGACCGAGTGGTTGACTGTGACTGACTGGACAGGCAAGAGATTGAGGTTTGCCCTAGCAGCTGACGCCGATCTACCTATCTGCCTACTTTGGGTGCCCACTCACCTGAAGTTGCCTGTAGTTTTACGGATACAATATTTAACCATGTAATCAGGGAGGAGCGAATGACCTTCTTACCACATCTCCAAGGCAAGTACCTACCTAGATATCTACCTAGGTAGGAAGTTAGGTATTTTGTCCAAGATACGAGCAGTAGCTCAGGCAGGCACGACAAGAAAGCGTCGATGGGATGGATGGATGGATGGATGGGCGGGCAAGAGCAAGAGCGAGGCACCGTGACAGGACCCTCCCTATCTGCACGACCCTTTCCCGTCATATTGTCATGTCAAGGCACACTGCTCCCGTGCGTGTGCTTCATGCATCGTTATTGAGCACCTACCTTGTTCGCAGGCCTCCTCTCTCATCCACATGGAATCAGCACTACAGATGAGATAACCCGAAGCATGCTGCAAGGCATATACTAGTAGACAGACAGCCCGCTTACTGTTAACACCTGCCTTAGGTAGGTAAGCTGCACGTCCAGACGGCAATCTCGCAGCAACTTGGCCGAAAACTGGTCCGCAGGGACGCAACAGTGTTTCCCACTCCACGCAAACCCCTCGCAACTCTGCCCAATCATGGCCTATGAAACTGTTTACATACATAGTAGGTAGTAGGACGGTTCGGAGAACAGCGAGCCTGTCGGCCTTGAGCCCATGCATGTTCATTGCCAACCTTGCCCCAGTATCCTCCGGGGACCTGCACTAGAACCTCGCTTCTCGCTGGGTGATGAGCCCCATCGAAGATATCGAGCCTAGGTACCTTGCTAACAAGTGAGTCCCCTCCGCAAAATCGGCGCAAGTGACAGGGCCGAGGTGGGGGGAACCGGGCTCCATCTGAGTGGGCGGCCCAGGACGCAAGCTGTTTTCTTGCGTCACTCGTGATCAGGCCTTAGATTATGACCAGCTGCACTTTTGCCTTGCCCGTACATCCCCTACTGGCACACCTACTAGTCTGTCTTTTTTTTTTTCCCACTACCTTTTTATTTTCCCACCTCTTGCGATCGCAGAATCAAAAAATCGGATTGATATCACCTGCCTGTGAAGCGACGTTCTGCGATCGCGCGAACTAACCTCCCTTCTCAACATAAAAGACCATAGACGGAAACCAAGAATCCGGGTAGATCGCAACCACCAAGCTGGCTTACCCTCGGGAACGCACGCCACTCATGGACCTTAATGGGGTCAAGAGGAGGGACACTACCAAGGGCCCTCCTCTTCGCATCCTATCGCTAGGTACGTGAAACCTCGACATACAGCGAGCTCAATCTTTCATACCGCAGAACACAGCCAAGCAGGCTCCAACCGGCGACACTCTTGACTGACCATGATTTGCGACAGATGGTGGAGGAGTCCGTGGTTACTCCATGTTCATCATTCTCCAAGAACTCATGCACCGCACCTTCGTCGAGATCGAGGGTAGAGCCCCTCGCCGAAACGAAATCCCCAGGCCATGCGACCACTTCGATCTCATTGTTGGCACCGGTACCGGCGGCCTCATCGCCTTGATGCTCGGCAGATTGCGCCTAGACCTGGAACAATGCAAGGAACTCTACGTAAGGTTGACGCGCATGGTTTTCGAGACCGACAAGACCATCGCTGGCATCCCTTACCGATCAACACTCTTCAAAGCCTCCAAGCTTGAGGAGGCTATCAAGGAGGCTGTCCGTGAACACACCGTTTACCAGAAGGAGGGCAATGACGGTGCCGAGAACGACATGATGAGCCCTCTCAGCGGATACAACAACTCGAACCCTAGGAGGCATGCAAGCAACGCCAGCACCGTCAGCTTCAGCGCACGCAGCCCTCAAGCCCAGATGGCACGGCCCGTTCTCAACTCGCGATACGGCGACCCCAATGCACGGCTCTATGATGCCCGGGAGAACAGGACCAAAACGTAAGCACCGTTTATTCCAAAGACCCCTGTCGAGAAGTTCATTTAGTGACAATTATGAAGCGCGGTTTTAGCAATGTACAAGGGTTCCCGTAAGGGCGCTCCTGCCGCCATCTTGCGATCCTACGACTCGAGGAGAGAACCTCCGCCAGAGTTCGACTGCAAGATATGGCAAGCTGGCCGCGCCACGTGTGCGATTGGCCTTGCTTTCAAGCCAATCCAAATTGGACAGTCTGTCTTCCACGATGACGGTGGCGGCACATTCAACCCTGCACCCGAAGCTCTGGACGAGGCGGTGTTGAACGAGTGGCCTGGCCGTGATGTTGGAGTGTTCCTCAGCGTCGGCACTGGCAGACGGCCCAAAGGGAGCGATGCGAATTCGCACATTTGGTATGAAGGCTTTCTGGGAGAGTTTGCAGAGGCCCGCCGCAAGCTCATCTCCAAGATTGAGGGCTGTGAGGTTATCCATGAGCAGATGAAGAAGGAGCACCTTCTCAAGCGAAACGTCAACATCGAGAACTACTATCGCTTTAATGTGGAGGTTGGTGTCGGTGAGTTTGGTATGAACGAATGGCACCGCCTGGCCGAGATCAGCACGAGCACGAGGCAATATCTAAGGCGTGACGTCGAGCAAAAGATGATACAAGGGGCTTCCGCGAAGATGGCCAAGATCCACAAAGCAAACATTAGGTTCTCACGCCTGCCCGATGTTCCCGAACTAGTCAAATCGAACTCCCAGGTCACCGAGCCGCTATCGTTTGCCGTGGAGTTGCCAGGCGACGTGCCCACATCCTGGCCACCGCACAATACACCACCAAGTCGCCAGTCATACGAGTCTGGAACGGAACACCTACACATACCTTCGCCAATGAGCCCTTCCCCCAGAAGCTCTGGCGAGCGACTCCAACCATCGCCGGCTCCAAGAGCTGAGCAACGCCCCCCGCCTCTTCCAAAGGATGATGAAGCCGACCGGCTGGTTGTTACTGCGCCCACACCTTCTCAGTACCGGTATGCGGCCGGCGCCGACAAGATTGCCATCACGAGCCCCGACGAGCACCCGCGATGGCAGAACCAACAATACAACAATGGTTTTGTGCAGCAGCCGCAGCGGATTCCACCGCCGCTGCCTCCCAAGACACCATTACCGGAACATCAAGTGGCAGGCGGCCGTCGCCCTATCAGCTCATCGCCCCTTCCTTACCCCGTTGACGACGAGCCTCCACCAGTGAACATGGCTAGAAAGCCAGACTACCGCGGAAGGTGATACAATTTGGGCAAATTGAGATACCCCGTTTCCTTGCAAGCAGCTGGACCACCACAAGACCACTTGCCTCCACGATGAGCGAGGTATCAAGATCCAATTGGAATCATGATTGGACAGCGACACGACCACAGGAGTTTCTATCGGAAGGCGATTTCGGATTTGGTGATTCCACAAAGATACCATTCTTAGCACATGTGCCTCACTTAGTGTAGAAGACGTGCTGTGGCGACTCAGAAGCTTGCCGCCTTAATGAAATGACGACATTTTTTTCTTCGTCTTGGTATGACACGATTACTTATATCTCCTGGTAATTCCCGTGAGCTGTGACTTCATCGTTCGGGGCACTCCCGTTTTGCGGCCGGTGGCAAGGACCCGATAATTCGGTCGGCTAGTGGGGCACTACGTCACGGCGACCCGTCCCTGCTGATCGCGACTCGGGGCTTGAGCTTAATCACGGGAATCTCCGAACTGCTCAAAGTCTGCTACCTCCATGATATTCCCGGCTAGGCTGTCTGATCTATTTACTTCGTTTGTCCCCGAATAAACAACAGTTCCGTTTGTCTTTTGCATTGTTCCCTTTCCAGGACGCCCAAGTTAACTCATGACATTCCACAAAGCCCCTCAACCGTTGACACGGCGTCTATCCAAGGACAGCAGCATCGAGACATCCAGCTGGCCACCGTGGCCTTGAAGCTACTGATATATAGCCTCTTTCGCAGCAGCACATATAACCACCGCAAACCATAGCCGCGCTCAAGAGGGCATGGCAATGTCTCAACGCTTTGCATCTGTTTGCTTCTCCTTTCGTGGTTGCAATCAAACAGCGCATCCCCATTCAGCAAGAGAATTATCCAATGGGCTGGGCTCCCCCGGAATGCACACTGTGTTTCAGCGGCCCCCAAACATCTTGGGTCTTTGAGGGCTTATACAGGGGCGTTTTACGGAGGTCAGTCCCGGTGTCTTTGCTGGTTTCTAATCCCCCCCCCTCAGAGCGCCACCAGAGATGGCTGACCAATTCAACAGGAGATGATGGTGCGCCAGTCCAGTATGCAGACACATTACCTACACGAAACTTGTCTTGGTGGAAGGGTTTGATCTCATCTTATCTTTCTTGGTCTTTCTGTCCAACCGATGTCCATTGAGTACTGAGGCATACGACATCGCGTCGCGGCCAAGGATCGCACATTCGCCTAAAAGTCTCTGGATCTAGACAGCTGTATGTGCTAGTGCACTTCTCAGTCTGCCTTGTCGACTTGAAAGGCATTTGCATTCTGGGACAGCATCTTCTTCAAGCTCCATTCTTATCCCAGGACGCCAACGTGGTGCTCGTCGTCGCTCGCACATGGACCAATCATCGTTGGCTCTCACTCTTCATATTTGTGTTCGAGGAAACCCGTTGGCCTTCAGCTGCCGTGACGGACAGTCTAATCAGGTCAGCCGGGACCACTATCTTGAGCCCGCAGACTATACCCGCAACACCGACCACGGGAGCATTAACTGTGTTATGAGACTGAAACGGACGGTCAGTTAAAGAACCGTTCTCGGGGCAATGCACCGCGACAATTATTTGGTCTTCTCCCGCAGGGAGGTTTCACTATAGCTACACAATTGAGTGATGCGGCTTGCGCTACAAGGGCTACAGCGCTTCGCAATTGGCCTGAGGCCGATGATGCTTTTACCCTGTACAGCAAAGGGCTTGGAGGCTAGAACCCTTTTACCAAGTGGTGATTTGCCTGTATACTGCTACATACCGGGCCCTGTCGGACTTGGGGCCCGTCTCCGCGAATAGTCGATTCTGAGAAACGCGATGAAAGGCTACACCGTCCACGTTTCGTACACCAGCCACTATCCGAGACTCTCCAGCATCTTTGATCTATTTCCTGTTACAATAGCCTTGTCCATGCGTTGACGACGTTTTTCACGCAACTTTCCGCCGAAATAACTACCTCTCACGGCGAATACGGCGATCCAGGCATCCAAACCTTGTTCACCAAAAGGTTCAGACCTAGGCACTAGCGACGCAGCTAATGCAGATCACCACAAAACCCCGAAAAAAGAAGGCTGCCTTGTGGCTTTCTCGAGGGGCTCCCCGTCTCGCTTCTCGCTCCTTGGCCTAGCCAGGCCAGGCAAATTCTCGACGCTAAACCAAACATGTCGAAACCGACGACATGCAGGCTCAAAGAAACTACAATGCCACCTTTCCCACCCCCAATCATTTCCTCCCCTGATACGAGTTTGACCTTTGCTTTCTGTTTATCTTGGTTTGCTTATAAGTTCAGCCCTACCAAAACTACAACTCCCGAAACCAGACTCCCGCGCCACACGTCATACTTGATGCCGTGGCTCAATCCACCGTAGGACAACAAGAACCGCAGGAACGAATGCTCCGGAGACAACGACGAAGAGGGCCGACATCGCCGCTTCCGCTTCGATATCATGTCCGAAGGTTCGCAGCAACAGCAGCGGACAGCGCGCAACATGGCCCGCGCCGAAAGGACGACGACGTCTTGCGGAGAGTGTAGGAGGAGGAAGCAGAAGGCATGTACACACCTTGTGTCTTAATGACCGCCCACAATCCCCATATCGTTCGGTTTCTCAATACTTTCGGACATGTCAGATATACCGAAGGGCATAGAACGATATATCGACTATACGGGCACATTTCAAGACGTTTTCAAGCGCATCGGGTGACTAACCCGGATGCAGTGCGATCAGGAGCAGCCCTGCAGCAACTGCCTCCGTCGGTTCCCCGTACCGATATGCGAATATCGGGCAGGAAAGTAAGTCTCGTTAGCTGTTACACAGTTACTCCTGCCACTTATGTGATTGGCGTTCTCTCTTATTTTTATGTGGCCCGTGATCTGACTGCCCTCCTAGCCGGATACCAGGCACATCAACATTCTTGGCACCAGCACGAGCAGGAGGCCGGGTTTCCATCCATCCCTCTCTCCTAGGGGAAGACTCTGCCCTTGTACAAGCATCTCGGTCTCTAAGGACGGCCGGGCATTCGCCCATCAGCGTCGCCGGCTGGGCTGCATCTGAGAACACGACATCAAACTCGGATTCCAAGACAGATTGTTCGACAGATCCGGCTGTCAGCGACGCGCCGTGGCCTCAGTTGGATTCCCTTGACGAAAGCAAGAGAGCAGCGGCGGCAGTAACGGCACCAGCGCGATGGTTTCCGCTAGCCGACCCGCAACGCTGCAGACTGGACTCGGATGTATCCCAGGCGTCACGGCAGATGCTCGCATACCGTCTCGCGGTGCCAGGCCTTGTCCTTAACCTCGCTGACAAAAACGGCGTCGGCGAGCACGTTGGTGATGACGACAACGACGAAAATAATTACGACAACAAACTACTCGTCGCTGGTGAATCGATACCCCGAGGCTGGCATCATGCAGAAAAGCCCGGAGTTCAACGTCTAGAAAGGCCCATCAGCGCGGTGGACGATGAGATCGTGCATCTCCCAGTAGCCCAGTCGGTATTGAACAAGAAACTCCTTCGAATATGTAAGCAGCTGCCCTTGATCTGTCCGCTTGGCGTGAGGAGAAGGAAGTGCTGAACCTGATGTACTGGTCTTAGACGTCACAGTCCTCTCCCGCTTCAAGGCTTCCCTCAATGGTGACCCGGACCCCAACAATCCCTTCATGCGCCACTATTCGCCCTTCTGCCTCCAAGACCCTCTCGTCGTCCAAATCATCCTCTACACCTCGGCTTGCTTCCTCCACGAGACGGGCCACATCCGGACCACGGCCCTGCGGACCCTCAAGGGTCGTGCCATCCACATGCTCAACGAGAGCCTAAGGTCTCATGGTGCCGACGGTAGGCGACATTCTAAGGATCGAGGGACCGCTGAGACCGCTCTCGCCACGACGACGACTACCGGCAGCAGCGAGAGATCTAAACACCCTAGCGACGCCGCCATCGCAGGCGTCATCCAGCTCACCATTACCGAGTGGTACTGGGGCGAGACGGAGGACGATCTACGGTACCATCTCAAGGGCTTGCGAGGCATGATCCGGTTACGCGGCGGCTTCGACCAGCTCGGTATGAACGGCCTATTGGCGAAGAATGCAATCGTGTACGTAGGCTCAGCTCTTTTGTCTCATCGACCCAGAATCAGTATGTTGAACTGGAGGCTCCGCCCTTTTTCCAGCGAATTTTTCTATTCTTTATTTTTCAGTATTCTCATCTTTTTTTTTGCTCCTATCGAGGATGGGAATACCTTCAACGTATCCACGATTCTTCATATGATTCCTCTCATTGTCCTTCCCCCGATTCTTTCAGCCTCTCAGTCGAACCCCTTTTACCCCATGTTGTCTTGGCCGCGGAGTATATAATGCCAGTCATTCCATGTTTCCATTTGTCCGCTCAACCGTCTGTTCGTTGTTTTTGTTGGTTTTCGGCCCCCAGCCTTGACTCGTAAATGGGTCTCGCTTTATGGGCGTCCACGCGATATGCCCCTTCGGCATTTGTCCGCTCGTATAGACCTTACAAATCACTGACTCATATGCTTACACGTAGTCACGATGTCTCCATATCTCTGGCTCACGAAAATATTCCACTGCTACTGACCCCGCCGCCCCCAGACGCACTGGCAACGACGGCAGACCCATGGGGTTCTACGGGATATGCTTTCGATGACCCTATAAAAGACGTGGCCCTTAGGATGGCACACATGTCGCCTTTCGTCAGCCACCTGCCCTGGTCCGTTGGCGTGCTCCCGTCCTTCGCCGACTGCGCTGCGAGCCTTGGCATGCACTCGGCGACGGCCTCTATCCTCGACAATGTGAGGTACCTTATTGGCGCCGTGGAGGCGATTTACACTGCGGCGAACGAAACGAATACAACCAATACGATCACGAACATGGCGGCAACGACGACGAAGGCGATACAGGCTTCCAGAAAGGCCCAACTCACGGGGAGGTACATGCACGAGCACATTTCCGGCCTCCACTCGACGATCCCAGGGTCTAGACAAACTTCGTCGCCGGAAGAGATACATATCAGGGCGAGACCACCGCCGGATAGCAGCGACCACCCCGCTGTCGAAGAGGCATCCGAGGGAAGTGGAAAAGTCTCCATCACAGGCACGGCGGGACGCGGCTCCGTTGGCGCGAGCCGGTCGCCATCGGGACCAGCGTACGATTCCGAATGGCTACAGAGGCGAGACGTTAGCGATTCTCCAGCGAGACCTGGATCGACGCAATACGGCCATCACCGACAGCATTTGCAACAGAGCCCAGACTTCATGTACCAGGTCGTCCGGATGACGGCCATCGTCTACACGCGGGCCATCGCGACCGGTACACCCTTGAGTGGCGCATGCACGGAATCGGATTTCCTACAGATCTGGACGACGACGTGGCGGGTGCCCCTTTCGACGTGGAACGGCGCTGTGGGCGTCTTCCATTGGATCATGATGGCCATCGCGCCGGCGTGCCACCGCACGCCGCACGCGCGCTTCGTCAAGAACATGACGACCATCAGCATGCTGACACTTGGCGTAGAGAATTGGGCCATGGCCATGAATGCTGCTAGGGCCGCCATGAGATTGCAGCACTGGCTCGGAGGCCAGCAAGACACCAAAGGAGCGGACGAGAGGGATGGGGCTGGGGCGGGGGCAGCCGCTTCTGCATCGATAATTGCAAGAGGAGCAGCAGGATCAGCGGCGGGAGGACAATGCTCCGGCCTCGAAGAGCGGTGAGCGGAGCGTGTGACCAAGGATTCGACTTCCTAACGAGAAACCCGCGCCCTCGCTCAGTGCGGATGTTGTCTCCATTCTGCAGCGTCATGGGGGGTTATGTGGCCAGGTCAAGGCTATCAGTCCACACAACCGCGTATGTATCCGCAGGCTACAAAACCCGACGATGACCGACCATCAACAGTCTCTCGCCCTAATGAGGCAAAACCGATGGCCTCCGCCCCCCCTCAACCAAGGAAATGGGACTGGCATGACGTCCATGAGCATACGGATTCCCCGACCCTTTCTGTCTACAATATTTTTTCACTACCTAGGTCGGTCATTCCGGGATGGCAGCAGTTCGTTCTTCCACGAGGCGTTGAATAAGAGACACTGCCGGCGGCAACGCCGCAGGTAGTGTAACGGTTCCGTCCACAGGGGGTGGCTTGCTACTGAGAGCTCCTGCATAAAGGTGGCATTGGAAGGAAAGCACAAACAAGGACTAGGGATAAAGGGCAGGGCAGAGCAGGGGCTGGGGAAGGGGAGCTATGGTATTGTACGATGTACAAATACTGCAGGCAGGGGACAAGGAAGATGGTCCCCCCACCCTTCATCTTGGGAGGGGATCGCGATGTTGTGGTTCAAGAAATGGCCCCTTGCCATAACGTCGTCATTTCCACACCCCCCCCCTTGGGATATATTTCTACGATCCGACCTCCGAAATTACTCCTGGGGAAAGCGCTTGCACCTTCCGACGGTCAAGTTCAACAATGTATAAGGGTGTGTGGATGAGGGAGGGGGGGGGGTGGGGGTCGGCTAGGATGCGAAGGGAAACCCAGAAAGGCTGGCCCATGGCTCTGCTGCAATGCTGAACTCTAAAGAGTGGGAGACGATGGAATGCTCTCTCCTCCCCCCTCTCCCCTCTCCCTCTATTTTGTGTCTTTGGCTACGCCTCTTCCCCCACCCCTGGCTGGGTCAACAAGGTGTCCCAGCGTCCCAGGAGCGGGGGTACCCAGCAGACGGTTTCCTTCCGTGACATCTCAGGACGATGCAACGCTATCCACGTTTTTCACGGCAAGATGTTGATGTACACAAATACTCGCCATGGCTGCGGAGATGGGGAGGATCGGGGCCTTGTGAAACGGGCGACCTTGCTGAAGGGGTGTGTTCGGTTGTCGTCCGTTGCCTACAGCAGCCACGGCCACGTGGGTATGCCAAAGAACCCTAAACCGTTTCACCGTTTCCATATCCGCTCGCCCGGAAGCACACAAGTCGTCGCATACGTTGTGACGGGCAGCTGTGGGCCATGTGCTGCAACAGCGGACAGTAGGGAGGGAGGTGGAAAGGTGTATTCATCTAGCGTCCTCGCCGTTTGGCACACCGTATCCGTACGGATGCGGACATATTGCGAACCTTCAACGGGCTAACCTGTAACCATATTGTGGGGCTTCCGCCTCCGGTTAACCAACTTCCTTCCGCAGGCCGCAGTAATGTCGGTCTGCTCAATAGCTTATGCAGCCATGTAGTCGAGACCTATAGCGGTGTTCATCCCGAACGTCTGCCAAATCCCTCTGCCAAGAAAGCCTATACACAACACGAGGTCCGAATGGGTCGCGCTCTATGGCAGACAAAGTAGGAGGCAGGATGGGGAATGCATGAGAGGACGTGAGTGCAATAAAAAGAGAGAGAGAGAGAGAGAGAGAATACCCTGCAGACATCGTTCTGTGTGTATACTACCATATGGCGGGTCGAGCTCGAGGGCGGGGAAGTCGATGAGAACAAGCAAGGTAATGAATGTATCGTAGGGGGTGTCTACACGCAAGCAACACTTGTGCAGACACACATAGTACCTGCAGGGCCCGATGTTCGCCATACACGGTACTACTACTGTAACACCAGGCAAAGTGTTGGAATTAGACTAGCAGTGTAGTTCCCTTGGCCAAGGTCCAGTCCCAAGTAGGTACGCGAGGGTTCCCAGATGAAGATTTAGAGTTTGAAGCCACGTTCCACATCATGTTTCGAACGATTTTCTTCCCCACGGCCGTGAAAGACGGGTACGCGAGGAAAGTAGTGACTTGCCACGTACTGTGTCAGGACCGGCTCTAGATAGTTTATCTCTTGAATTTGGCTTGTACCTTGCGTTGTGGCCAGGAATGGTCCCTGTGATACCTTTGAGATGTGATGAGACTGGTATATCGTATTCTCCTGATTGGCCCCTTGGCGGACTGATGCATGGCGGGCGCAGGCACGGCAGGGGTTGTCAATCTAAACTTTGGCTTTTGTCCTGCAGAAGTGGTTAGCTTTAGACTTTTCTTTTACACCGCAAACATGAGATCCAAATGATGCTGCCTTGCATCTTCTCCAACGATACTCTTTGCCTTCCTTGCCACATCTTCACAAGTCCATGGCCAGGCCTCTATTCAACTCGACTCGCGTACCCGGCTGTGATTCTACCAGATCCAGTGAGTGGGCTGAACTCAACCCAACTCGCCTCGTCCCGCATGGCATGAGGCCATTGTTCCCAGCATCTCTACCCGAGTTCCGACTCATGAGAACGCATGGCATTTTCCTTGCCTTAGTCGTGCTCCTCCCTTCCAATTGGCCGCCTCGGATGCTCGCCAGCGACTAGGACAGTTCTGGTGATTTTCGAGAAGCTTCAGTGACTATTGCACTGTCGTCTTTAGCTCAGATATTCCCTTCTGAAATGGTGAGTCGAGGGTAGCAAGCGAGTACCGTCATTGCGCTTTGACGCTGCAGCGATGGGCTTGCGTTTGTCCTCATCAGGACGACCAAGGTTCTTCCAGAGGGGCTTCTGATGTTGTTCCATTCGTTCCAAATGTTCCATTCCCTCTCTTGTAACCTAGTTCAATGCAACCTGACATCCTGTTTAGCCTCTCTGTCACCCTTCTCGTCATCTTCGGATGAGTTCAAAGCGGGCGGGGTCGGTCGATACTTGTGCGCTGGAACCCCCCTTACAAGTCCCCGGCGGAGGAGGGCCTACATACCTTCACAACCAGCGAATGGCCGATGAGAAAACGCGACCTCATATCCCCCCCTCTGCCGCCCCCTCCTAACGTCTGAACCCTCCGGCTCTCTACTCCGCCGGCCACCTAAAGCCGAAGCCGGTGTCGGCCTTTGACCGCTCTGTCACCAAAGGAGTGTCCGCCGCTGCCCATGGAAACGGATGCGAGATAAGAAATCTGCAACGGTTGTCCATCGGCTCCTATCTTTGGTTTAGCGCTAAATATTACCTACAATATCCAACACTGAATGGTGTTTCCGAGACTCTTGAGCGCAACTTTTCTTATCTTGAAAACTGCCGCCGCGATTCCAACATCATACCAGAGCAGTTAGAGTAGCAGCGGCTGCGCAGGATGTCAAGCGCTTGCTTGTTCGAGAAGTTCGACCTCATGTATTGCGTCAGTTTGGATGGGCCGCTTGCCGCGCACCACATAATGCAGCCACTCAGAGACCCCGTTCTGTTCTCCAACGTCTTTTTCACACGTCTAGCCCTCGCAAGCGTGAAAAATAAAAATCATGTAGATCGAACTGCACGCTTATCGCTGTCCAATGTTGTGTCGTCAATTGAGGGGATCTCCCCGCGCAGGAAGTGTCGGGCAAGCTTCGCAAGCCGTGGCTAAAGTCAGTTCTTAGCCATTGAATTGACAATTTGCATGTGGCAACCGACTCTTGTCAGCTATCTCAAGGCTGGAGAACCGGGTCCTGGAGAATGACGGTTTCGTAGAAGAAGACGAAGAAAGCCCTAGACATTGCTGCTTCGCGTCTCGCAGCTCTTCGTCCGTGATTGACCGTCTGACCCTTCATTGTCCACCAACACATTTTCCGAACGGCATCCGGGATTCGTCAGCAACACATTTAGAGCTTGGACACGGTAAACGACTTCAGTGTCTCATCCATTCCGTGCAAAAGCAAGCTCCCTTGGCTCGTGCTTTCGGCCGACTCAACCATTTCCCCGGGAAATATTCGACAACGGGAAGTTTCGCAGAGATATTAGTTCCGCGTCAAAACTGAGGAACAAGACGAAGCGCCTGTAACCCTCGGCAGCCACCAAGAATGGCGGAATCGTCGTCATCCGATACATTGGGCCCGTTGGCCGTGCAGCCTCAGTCCGAGACCACGGCGTTGCTACCGAAGCCTCCGGCGTCCGCCCCTGATGAATCCTACCCTATCTGGCGATGGCTGGCCGAAATTCTGCTCCTCGGCAAAGCCGCTGTTCCCGTCATCCTCGCGTACACGCTGCAGAACAGCCTGCAAACCCTCAGCGTGCTCATTGTTGGTAGACTGAGCCCTGAGGCCCTTGCGACTGCCGCGTTCAGTTACATGTTCGCCATGGCAACAGCCTGGCTCATAGCTCTTGGCGGAACAACGGCCCTCGACACACTTGCATCAAGTAGCTTTACTGGATCTTCGAACAAGCACGACCTGGGCATACTGTTGCAGAGAGGCATGATCGTCTTATCGGCATTCTACGCCGTTGTGGCAGTGCTGTGGTGGTTCTCTGAGCCGGTGTTCCGAGCATTGGGTCAAGAGGAATTCATTTGTGTGCAGAGCTCGGTATTCTTGCGATGGCTGATCCCGGGCGGGTTGGGGTATGTGTGGTTTGAAGCAATGAAGAAGTACTTGCAGGCGCAGGGTAAGTCAAGGGCCCCGGAGATTTAACAACGCGAAAATAAGGGATAGAGACGAAGTCGAAGCTGACGTCGGGCTGTGGCAGCCATCTATCGTCCGGGCACCTACGTGCTCCTCATTACGTCGCCATTGAATGCAGGGCTCAATTATCTTTTCATCCACACCTTCGGCCTCGGCTTGTACGGGGCTCCCATCGCCACGGGCATCTCGTACTGGGTTTCTTTCATGCTCCTCGTGGCGTACGCCGTCTTCGTCCAAGGTAAGGAGTGTTGGGGCGGATTGGAGTTGCGTAAAGCTGCAAGAAATATTGGGCCCTTCGCCAAATTGGCGGTTATGGGCGTCATCCACGTCGGCACTGAATGGTGGGCTTTCGAAATCGTCGCGCTGGCGGCTGGAAGACTTGGTACGATCCCACTGGCAGCGCAGTCAGTCATCATGACTGCGGATCAAATCATCAACACCATCCCCTTTGGTCTCGGCGTGGCAGCGTCGGCAAGACTAGGGAACTTGCTGGGTGCGCAACGACCGCGGGACGCAGCGATAGCAGCCCATTCGGCGGCGATTCTCTCAGTGTTGCTTGGAACCATCGTTCTCACGGTTCTCATGGCAACGAAGGATGTGTTTGGAAAGATCTTCAACGACGATGAGCGCGTGATCCGGCTCGTGGGCGAAGTGATGCCGTACGTTGCTTTGTTCCAGATAGCAGACGGATTAAACGGATCGTGTGGTGGGGCGCTTCGAGGTATGGGCCGCCAGTGGGTTGGGGCTGTTGTGAATCTTATCAGCTATTACGGCGGAGCTCTCCCGGCCGGAATCTACCTCGCCTTCAACGGATGGGGCCTCGCAGGGTTGTGGATTGGACAATGCGTCGCCCTGTACTTGGTCGGAGCGCTGGAATGGGTTATAGTTGGGTTCAGCAAATGGGACAATGAGTGCCAGCGGGCTCTGGATCGGCTGGACGACACCACCAGCGATGGTGAAAGTGAAGAGGCAGTTAGGACGGCCGGTAGCTTGGTCTAGTAAAAAGGAAAGGTAGCTCGCGGCTGCAAAGGCAGTCAGTCGTTGTATCTCGGTATGTGGTGAGCTACCTATGTAACTAGTTGGTGGTAGCTGCTAGATTTTTGTCTCTTGGTTTACAAGCCATAGAGGGGTAGAGGAGGTATACAGACATGACGTTGGCGTATCAGAAACCACAGTCAAGACTGCTATGAAGGATGACATGATGCCGAGATACGTATGGTGGTTCCCGAACAACCTACATAGACAGCGTGCTGAGGGTGCGGTCGGCCGCTGCTCATGAGGAGTGATTAGTGGCCAGGGGGAACTTTTTGTTACTTGTGCTACCCCAGCTTTATGCTCGTTGTACCGCCAAAGTGGGTATAGTCTATAACCAGCTCACCGCTTACTCAACTAGTCTTCAGTAACCCTAACCCTGGTCTTACTCAGCATCACTTTAATCATCTAGGCAGGCTGGCCACTAATCACGCTGGCCACCGATTCACAATGCCAAGATTAATAGCAGAAAAGCCTATTTTTTTATAACGCTTTCCCTCTTTTGGTGGTAAGTCGCGATGGATTCAGAAAGATACATTGCATAAATCTAACTTTCTAGCTGCAGTAAGCATCCGGGCTCGGATACCCCTCCGGAGGGGCTATGCACGCCGGAAATACCCCTTGGCCACTAATCACTCCTCATGAGCAGCGGCCGACCACACCCTGAGGAAGGAATGTAGGCATCTGTTTGTTGACAGCTCTTACCCAAGTAGCTAGTCGCCTTGTCTAGGTAGGTACCTACCGATCTCTCAGAGCAGATTTGACATCACGGGGCACTAACAAACATTCTGCTTTTCGAGGCTACGTCGAGTTAGTGCGACACAAAACCATCCGATCAGTTGCAGTTGTGTCACTGAATGCTAAACCCCGCCCGCAAACCCCACTATGATGGCATATTGTGTGCACGCCTGGCTCGAGATACCATGGTCGATCCAGCACCAACCTGGATATTGCAAATCACTTACAAAGAAACCAACGCCTCGCGAGAGTCTCTCATCCAACGCAGAGAATAATCCACCATCATACTTCACAAATCCGGCAGCATAACGGAGAGTCGAGCATCATGGCCCCTATCGGAGTGGCTATTGTTGGCGGTGGCATCTTTGCCAAGGAACAGCATCTGGTAAAGCATCCCACAGACCTTGTCCCGGTCAAGTAAAAAGCGGTGTCTGGAACCTTCAAGGTGACACTGACGGCAACCCGAATAGCCGGCCGTGGAAGCGAGCGACCAACTCACACTCAAGGCCATTTATTCGCGGTCCCGCAAGTCCGCCGAGGATACGGCGAAGCTCGCCACCAATTCCGCGTCGCCCGACCTGTACTCCGACGACTCGGGCGACGGCAAGTCGTTCAAGGACCTCCTTGCCCGCGACGATATCCAGGCCCTTATCCTAGCCCTGCCCATTGTCAATCAGCCCGAATATATTGAGCAAGCACTCGCTGCCGGCAAGCACGTCTTGGCCGAGAAGCCCATCGCCCCCGACGTCGCTCGGGCTCAGAAGCTGATCGACTACTACAACAAGGTCTCTGCTGAAAAGGGCGTCACCTTCGCTGTCGCCGAGAACTACCGTTTTCAGCCCCGCTACACTGCGGCACGGGATGAGGTACAGGCACTGGGCAAAATCACCGGCTTCAACGTAAGGGTTTTCTTCTACGTGCAACTGGGTGGCAAATACATCGAGACAGCGTGGCGTAAAAAGCCAGACTACCAGGGTGGCTTCCTCCTCGACGGTGGCGTCCACTTTGCAGCCGCGCTCCGGCTGCTACTCGGCAAGGAGGCGGCGCCGGACTCGGTTGCCGCCTTCTCGGACCTGACCCAGGAGCACTTGCCCCCCATCGACACCATCAATGCTGTCATTAGGACCAGATCGGGCGCCACAGGCTCCTTTGCTGTCAGCGTCGGCTCATCCTTGAGCGCTTTCGATTTCCAGGTGGCGGGAGAGAAAGGCAGTGTCACCCTGTCGGGCCATGACCTCACTGTCAAGCCTTTCGATGGCGAAGCACGGACAATCCAGTTCGAGCAGACGAGTGGTGTCAAGGAAGAGGTCAAGGCATGGGCGGAAGGTTTGGTAGCCGGGAGGCCGAACCCGTTGCAGTCTCCCGAGGAGGCCTTGGCCGACCTCGAGCTCCTTGAGAAGATTTTCAAGAGTGGTGAAAAGGATGGTGCGGTCCAGAAGCTGCAGTTACAATAGTGGACGAGACATTGATAGCTAAGAGATAAGCTCCAGTCTGCCCTGTGGGTGGGTAATAGAGTTCAAACTTCAGAGCTTGTTTTCCCTGGCCTCCACCACCTGAATTCGCTCCAGCCCCCTCCGCATTTCGTCCGTCATGCCAGATGCGGTTGGGCGGCCAGTAGATCTCTCGACAAAGACTTGCACAAACTCCCCAACTGCTCTCACCTGCTCGACTCCCTTTTCGAACAGAGCAATCTCATATGTCACGCTGGACTTGCCCAATTTGTTCACCCGGAGCGCCAACTCGGCAACTGCAGGGAAGGAGATGGATGCAAAGTAGTCGCTGTGCGAGTGCACCACAACGCCGTGCTGCTTAGACCCTGCAGGCGATAGACGACAATGCTCAATCAAGTATGTGTTGACGACCGAATCGTATCTGCAGAACACCCCTTAGCCGGACGCCGCGCAAGCACATTAGCTGGTTCGAGGGAAAGCATACAGAAAATTGTAGATGCTGTTGTTCATGTGCTGGTACATATCATTATCGGCCCTAAAAAACCTTGTTATCGACTGCTCAAGCACCAAACCCCGAGAGGAATGCGAATGAAAACACGGATAGACTGAAGTGTGATAATGTGAAGATGATGGATACATTGGCACACTCCCCCTCCCCCCCAAAGGGTTACTTACCACCGCGTCCGGTAGTCCAGCATGTAGCGATAATCCTCCCTCCGACGCTGCTTTAGCTCGGCATAACTCGTCATGATGGCGTCTTGATGTAATCGACGAACGAAAAAGAGGCGTCCGATGCCCTGAAGCTTGTCACAGTCGACAATGTATTGATCTGCAACGGTACGGTAGAGTAGAAGGTAAGAGATAATGTTCTTAACAGCAACAAGGTATGTTGCGGTCGCCGGTACTTCTCTTTTGAATTACGGTTCATCACATTCCTTTAAACCCTTCGGAGCGACGCCCCAAACACAAGAAGCTCTCATAGCTTTTGCACTAAAGCGTGCGGAGAAATCGGCCGCGGACAGGGCTGGGCAACGCAAATCTCCTACCCAAACCGAGGCACAGGGAGACGCTGAATGGGTCGAGTGCGTTGGTAGACCCGATTGGGCCCGTGCCAGATCAATGCCTTACATAAGACGGATGGTCGTATTGCCCAGCTTATGTAATTACGAGATGGGGGAAGTCTGGGGAGTCCACGAACCAATCACGCTATCGCCAACCCAATCTGCCTGAGCTTGTGCCTGCCAAAACCCAACCTCAGCAAAGTTCTGCCAGGTCTGACCGCCATCAATTTTTGTGCCTCCTTCTCGGACCTATCACCACCAACCTCGCGGATCTATGTAAACTCTTGGAAAATCTCAGGTATGAGGGGACGATCTGCAAGCGACCTACCAAGACGTGGCAGCCCTACCGATAGACAAATTTCCTTCACCTCAGCTATCCACCCGTCTCTGCTCCTCACCCTGTCCCTCAACCCTGGCTACCCTTCGGCGCGCAGTCACGCTTCTGGCAAGACTATCACTTCGACCGGATTCCCTTTCATCTACCATGGCTTCCGAAAAAACAGCGTCGATGACAGATCTGGTCCCACTGCCTGCTGCTTCCCGCGTTGCTACGTCCAAGCTGTCGGATACCGTGCCACCTGAAGCCGCTGAGAAGCTGCCTGACGTGCTGACGACTCCCACTGGCGACATGTGGCCACGCCCATACTATTTCGAGGACGGTCTGCGTAGAGTCGCTCCCTATCACTTTACCTACCACACCTGGGCCAAGGAGCGATGGCGGGGTCGGAAGCTAATCGACATCTTCGAGGACGAGTTTCGGGACCGCACCCTAGAGTACTATCGCCATGCCATGGAAACCGGAGCCATTGTCGTCAACGGGAAGGCGGTAGGCCCGGACCATGTTGTCAAGAACGGGGATCTGGTAAACCACACCATTCATCGCCATGAGCCTCCTGTCACCGGGGAACCTATCCGTATCATCCACGAAGACGATGAGATGATTGTTGTGGACAAGCCGTCTGGCGTGCCTGTGCATCCTGCTGGCAGATACAAGTACAACTCACTCATCGAAATCATGAAAGCTGAGAGGGGTGAGCACTTTCTGCCGTACCCGTGCCATCGCCTGGACCGCCTCACAAGCGGCATCCTTTTCATAGGCAAGACGCCGCAGGCCGCCGTAAAGCTCACTGCGCAAATCAGAGCTCACACGGTACGCAAGGAGTATCTGGCTCGTGTTGCTGGAAAATTTCCTGATGGTGAAGTTGTTTGCGACCAACCCATCCTGCAAATATCCCCACGGCTAGGACTCAATAGAGTGCGCGCCAACGGAAAATCGGCCCGCACGGTCTTCAAGCGTTTGGCATACTACCCGCCGGACAAACAGGATGCCCTGCCACTGGAGCAGCCCAAAACCCCGGAACAACTCGCAGAGGAGGAACGTCGGCCTTGGATCAAGAAGGAGGGGTACTCGATTGTCCGCTGCTTGCCTTTGACGGGGAGAACGCATCAAATTCGCGTGCACCTGCAATTTCTTGGGCATCCGATTCAGAATGATCCTTTGTATGCAAACCAGCGTGTCTGGGGCATCAATTTGGGATGCAACGACTCTGATGCAGTTGAGAACACGGACGAAGATATCATGTCACGCCTGGAACGGATGGGCAAGCAGGATATTGCTGACGCGGTAGCATATCACGATGAAATGGTGGATTTGTATGCAAAGAGACGGGCCGAGAAGCTGTCAGGCGAAAACTGCGAGGTGTGCGACACGCCACTCTACACGGATCCCGGCGCACATGAACTTTCACTTTGGCTTCACAGCCTCCGATACGAAGACGCCGGAGGCGCATGGGGGTACACTAGCCCGATGCCCGAATGGGCCCTCCCCCCGGATGGCATGAACGGACCAACGGAGGTCGGTGGGCTGGAGGAGCTCGTCGAGGCTGTCAAAGAAGAGAACCTAGAAATATCCTGAGGGTTATCTATTGGCTGGAGCGATAAACTACGTACCTTGACTAACAACGGTCCCGGACGGACCGATTGACCCCACCAATTCAACTCCTATTGGGTTTGGGACGAAGTGATACCCCGGCGGTATTTGCGATATTTTCATACTCGCAACAATAAACAAGATTTTGATCACGCTGCATTGGATAGGAGGGCCGTTCCCCCCCTCCTTTCTTTCAAAAGACATGGATACCGATTGCGACAGACATGCAGGACTACACAAACGCATATACATAGTAGATGTACGTGAGGTTTACACTATTGTCGCGTATCTGCGGCATTAAGAGGGACCGGACCACCTTGTATTTGTATCCAAGTACGAGAGGGACCTTGCACGACGGAGAAAAAAAGAAGAAGAAAAGCCCGCCCACTACGTCCCATGTGTTCTAGTGTACTTGTAGGGATCAGCCACTGCCGGTGCCAACACCATAGACGCGGATATGCCAAGCTACCTACACACCTTTTCCCTCTTCCAGAGCGAGATGCGCTCCGGTCGGAACGATTAATGATTGGCCAGTCTTCATGGAAAAAGTGGTTGGTGCTGGGCCGCTAGCGTGGCCTGTCCTGGTACATAGGTAGGTGGCTGTCTGAGCGGGACGAGGCGCACCTAGCTTCTGCTCGTGTACTCGTAGGGTCCACAGTACCTCACGGCACTGCCAGACCTTCTCCTCAGCTGGCCAGCCTTGAGGCCAAGGATGGATGGGTTCTTCCGTCACAGGCCAGGTGCGAAGGCCAGCGCAGTGCCAAGCCCTGCAGGTCCTACTCGAATGGGGCCTCTCAACCGCCGTCTTGTTGTATCCCCACGAGCGGAAGTGCGGGAGGAAACGAAACATACAATAATCAGCTCTCTGAGTCAGAACTGACCAATTTTGACTAAAATCCAGAACTGTGTATTGCTCCGATGAGACAGCATTGATCAGGGGTTCATATACCCCGGGCTCGATGGTTCTAAGCCCACCCCGAAATAACTTAAAATCGCTGATTCCGGAAGCTCTCTTTGTTGATACCCTCGACGCCTTTCGCCGTGTCCGAACCCTCGCCAGCCAAAACCGAATGCCAATGACATACCACGAACCAAAAAACGACTCCATGAGATTACATGCCTGCAGCCACGGTTCATCGGCACGACGCCTTGCACGACTAAACCGATTGGAATGCGCGATGACCAGGCGGCGGAAGGATGCAAAGCAAACGACATTAGCAAAAGGAGAAGAGAAAAGGAAGGAGGGAGGAAGGAGGAGCCACCGATCGGAAAATATCCCCACCATTGGAGCGAGCACCGCTGCTGACGGGTTGGGGGTCTACGCGTACTGACATTCAAGTGAGACCTTGCTTGGCGAGGACAACCATCGACAGACAGAAACATTGAAGGAGGGAGCCTCCGGACACCACAATCCCGCCTGTTTGGAAACTTTGGTGAAGCATACTTCCAACTCGGCGACACGCCCCCTTTCTCGCCTCCTCGAGGCCATGACAGTATTCTACCGTGGCAACTTGCCTACTCGTTGGCAAGGATGCTTCATGGATAGTACTCCTCCTTTCTCCGACGTGAAGTAACATGAGACGATCTCAGGATAAATCCGACCACACGATGCGCTGCAGAACCCGGAGAAGAGCCAAAGTATTCCGAAAAGCCCTCCATGCTGACGGAGACATGCTGACGCATCGCCCTCGAGTCCATATGCGAAACTCACACCACGCCGGGTTCTCGGAGAAACCCCTATCAAAAGAATTCAATTGAAATAATCGGACGGAAAAAAAAACTTAAACGAAATGGTAAGCGGGGACGCAGACAACGCAGCCCACGTACAAATCTAATGGCAGCGAGCTCGCGATTGCTAATAAGGCAGGCCTTCATCTGGCCGCGAGCATGCATACACCTATGTTGCGGGGATCTACCAACCGCATCTCGAGCGAATGTTTATGCGAGCCGCTGACCGCTGACCGCTGACCGCTGACCGCTTGCTGCGCCAAACTAGAGCTTAACTGGAACTTGCTAATCTGAAGGGCGGACAGGCGGGGTCGTGAAGCTGGAATTGATCCATGATGCCGAGTCCCATCCCACAGCAGGGAGAACAAAACGATGCCGCTGATTTTCCTATTGACGGCCAAAGGAGGCAGGAAGAGAGAGACATACCAGGGTCCGCTATGCATCGCCCGTCATCAGCCTGCATTCCATCTAGCGAAAAAAGAAACCAAAGGGAAAAGATTTGCAATGGTAGCTCAGTAGCGACTTTCTACATGATTGGACAACCGGATTCAAGCCCGGACCATTAGGAATGACAGACACGCCATCTGGTCGCCCAGGCAGCGCACATCACGGCCGTTTCCATACCGGCCATTGCAAGCGGTGTCGCCAATTGCGGAAAACGGAGAAAATAATTGGTGTGTAGCGACAGTCAACGGAATCCCAAGGACGCCGTCCCATCTGCTACTGAACCAGAATTCCCCTACCCTTCGACGGAGCGAGACACCGAGGCATTCGCCGGCAGAGCGGTCGAACTGACAAGGCGGTCGAGCCGCCGGGAAGCTTACGCCATGCGCGGCTTGGCACCGGCACTTCAGCATTTCTAATTGCAAAGACGATGGGTCTTCGAGCGTTGATGAATTGTCATTGCGGCCTTGCTACTTCAACTAGGAGTTTGAGCAGTCGGACGAGTGAGCGGATGTGCCAAGGAGTTTTAGCATTGGCTCCGTAGTTGGCACTCGAGGCATAGGGCGACTAGCAACTCAAGTGCTACTGCTAGCCTTATTCCTGGCCGGCCGGCTAGAAGGGCGGGCTGGCTCACGGTAGGCCGAGCATGCCAATGAAACCGCCGGCGTCAAGTCACTATCCTCCTCGTCGCGCTGGAAGGCCTTAGAACAGGGGACGACAAAGCTCACCAGTAGTTGATATACCTTGTAGCCAACCTCGTCGGCCATCTCAGCGGAGGTGGTAGTAGGAAGAAGAAACATTGCCACTCTACTCGGTCTTGCGAAGAAGAGCCGGCGGCAACGGGCGGCGCCACCTTGGTTGCCGACGCTATATGACGCCAGACAATGGATTGAAGTCGCCGTCTCTCCTCTCCCCAAGGTGGTTCCTACGTTTGTATACTTCCGATCTTAGGCTCATCAACGTCAAGTGCAAAGGAAGAAGCCGTTGTGCGCCAACCACTACGTACTGTTGACGCACATACACACACACACACAGACGCATACATACACACACAGCTTTGCAGCCATCCAACCATGCGCATGCTCAACTTCGTCCCTCTAGATACGGATAAGCGTGTTACGGCCGGGGGTGGGTGGAGGGGGTGGTGGGGAGGAAGAAATAGTAGCAATCGGGCTGGCCGCCGGGGCCGGAGCAGGAGCAGGAACAGATAGATGTGGGAGCAGGTTTCTGGGCATCTCGCATGGTGCTAAGACGATGGTTCACGGCAGTTAGATACGTACCGGTGGTAGACAACAGGCGGAAGGAAGAGTGGGAGGCATTGCCTGCCTCGACCCTTTTTTTTTTTTTTTTTTTACCCGCTTCTTTTCTCCCTTCTCGGCTGGTTGATACATACCCACTTTTCACCCACCCCCTCCTTCCCTTCCCTCTCTACGATGTACACTTTTGCTTCCTGCTGCTGGTGGGCCGCGTATGGCCACCCACGAAACTAGGCCATTTTGTGACTTAGCGCAAAGTTTATTTCTCGCAAGGGGGGGGGGGGGGGATGTCCGCTATGTCTTTCTCCACCTATGTTATTTTCCCACGGTTTCCTCCAAGGCCCCGACTGACCTCATCGCCTCACATTATTTCACATTCATACTCACCCTGTAAGAGAGGCCGAACTGTCTCTGCTTATCAATTGAGTGTACGTGTGTGCACGCATGTGAGAAATTGGGAGAGAAATAAATAAACAAAAAGAAAAAGAGAGAGAGGGAGAGAGAGAGGGTGGGAGAGAGAGAGAGAGAGGGAGAGAGAGGGAGAGAGAGAGAAACAGAGGGATATGGAGATCGCGCAGGCGCCCATATCCACTCGGACGTCCCAATGCATCTCTCTCTCCCATTCTCCTCACTCTTACCACCACCGCTCGCTCACTCACACCCACACCAGACGGTATCTGCTATGGGCCAACATCCCTGGCCACGCGCGCGCACTACACGACCACGGCCGCACGCCTGCGAAATGCTGACCGTTTGTGGCGTGGCGTTTGGCGCTGGTATCCTCGTCCTTCTTCGTCTTCTTCAGACCCCGCAAGGGATTGATTGATAGCCACAGCTTCATTTCGTCATGTTATATCCCACCCCGGTCATCGGAGTGTGGCCGAAACCTTCTGGGCATGCAGCAACCGGTACGGAAGAAGTGCTGAGCCTCGAAGAAAGTTGATGCCCATGGGTCTTTGCCCTGCTAGGCAAGGCTCAGTACGGGAAGGCATGGCGCGGACTTGCAGCAAAGTGTTGTTGGTGTCGGACCAAAACCGCCGCCCCCCATCAGCGTAATATCTGTACGATTGTGAGAAGAGATGGGCAGTGGAGGTTACCGGTACCCTGTCTTCCTTACGTTACCGTTAGGCTTGGGCGTCTCAAGGGACACACAGGCCATGGCATGGGTATGGCTATTCCGAGCAAAAACGGGGCCCGACGTTATTACCACTGCTGGTGTTGGTGGTGGTGCTGCCACCGCTCGTTACAGTTCGCCGCTGCTTGTCGACTTGCAGTGAAAGTATAAGTCGCCTCTCCCACACCTCCATTTTCCCAAGCAACCAAAGGCCGGCGCGATGAGCGAGCTCCAGTGAGACAAGCCTCTGTATATTTTCACCACGTTGCACACTTTCTTGGAAGACGCGGACAGGGTATGGCATGGGAGGGCAGAGATAGATAGGCTTGGCCATCGACGAGGGCACGCACGATCCAGTGCAGCATGAGGAGTCGCGCTGTAATTTGGCGGTGCCATTCTGCAACAGATTCGACAAGGCAGGCAGGCAGGCAGGCAGGCATCTGGGTACCTTTTCCATTGCAGGGACTATAGCTTGCTTTGCCCTGTCTTGCGTTTCTCCTTCGCCTTACCATTAGCCCAGTCGCCCTCCGTTCGGTCACTTTTGATCAGCGCATCTATATTCCCAACCATATGCCTGCCCTACGACTTGACTAACCATGTAATCGCCTTTCTTTACGGATAAGCAACTCTCCGCCGGGAACCCTTCGTCCAAATCGGGCTCGCACCAGACCAAGGGATGTTGCTCGCCCACCTCAACTGCTACCAGCTACGAGACGTGTGACCCATTTCCCCCGACATCTTTGTGCGCGACGCGGCGTAACTGAGATACGGTTACAAGACAAGACACAAGACGATTTCCGAGGAGCAGCGGCTGCACGCCTCAGGCTCGCATGCGGTTCTCCTTAGTCCGAGTTGATCCCACAAATATTCCACGACTGCAGCAGCAGCTGCTGCTGCTGCTTCTTGCCATTCGGTAGAAGGGTGTAGCGCAGAAATGGTGACGCACCATAACTTGGGGCAAACGTGCGTGTGGTGGCCCATCCCATTACCTAAGGTAAGGCATCTCATACATCGTCTCCATCTTCTAAACGCAAGGTAGGTACCTCAGAGTGAACAGTCAAACACGCCCCTCCCCTCCTATCATGGCACACCACCCCCACATCACTTTACCTCCCACCTCACCCCCGTCCAGGGCGAGGGTAGTACTTGTATCTAGCCTTGGTGAGGTACATTGCCTGCCACCCCCGACTCGGTACGTACTTGTCCGCTGCCTCTCTCTAGCGCACGGTACGTACCCTCGTCTTCCATACCCCCTGTCCGACCTGCCTTCTTCCATGTTCCTTGCGCCGTCTGTCCTGTTCTGTTCTGCGCAGACCCTTGCTCACACCCATCGAGCCCCATCCTTGAGAGATCTGTAAGTTGTTCTTGAAGTGGGTTAGCAATTTACGCCGTGTCTGCACCTAACATCAACTGTCATGTGCCAAGTTACCTCTCTCTCTGTGTGTGTGTCTCTCTCTCTCTCTCTCTCTCTCTCTCCCTCTCCCTCTCCCTCTTTCCCTCTTTCCCTCTCGCACTCTCGCACTCTCGCACTATTTCTCACACTCACACACACACACCCTCGCTCGCTTTCTCTGCCTCTTCACCGATACTTGACCCTTCTCCAAGGAATAAAAAACAAGAAAAAAATAAAAACATCAATAATAATCAACAGTACTCGAGCACAGAGTGTACTTGTACACATCTATCTGCCCTGTTCTGTTGCTCTCTACCCTCGAATCCTTGCTACCCTGCACTACCTCCAAACTACACACCTACCATTCGCAGCTCCTGTGGTCCACGTCCTTACCCTCATAACTGGGCTGCCTTCGCTACACATGCTAGCCCGAATGCAGCCATCCCTCGAACCCCTGCTCCAGACTTGCCTACCTTATGTGCAAGTCAGTCCCTT